GAGAGGGTCAGCTCTTTTTAATATAGACTTTTCTAAGTCATGCAAAGGAAAGATGGGTTATGTTTGTTACTTCTTTGAAATCTTTGTCTTCTCCCTTTTTCTAGTTTCACATTCAGTGCTTGTAAGAGACAGGGGCCCTTTATTTTGAAGAACTAACTGCAAAGTATCACTGAAATCTCGAGAGCTGCATAAATGATGATGCTAACAGCCACATTGCCTGAGTCTATACTGCTAAATAAATCTGGGCCAAGATGTAGTATCAAGCACTGCCTTGTAACTGCTTGCACTGCTTTGTTGTCAGCACTCTCCCTGCCAGTTTGGCCTGTGCCAACTAGTGCTCTCCAAAATAACACCCTGGCACAGTTTGGGAGACAGTACAGGGTAGCAACCATTCCCAATGGGCAACACGGACAAGGCTGTGCCAGGTTAGGCTGTGTCCAGTGTCCTTCAACAGTGTTCTAGCAGGCTTTGCACCTAGGCTGTGCAACACACATCCTGTTTCACACTAGGAATAGATCATTAACACAGTGGTCATGTTATGTCGGCAACTTTGAACTGAAAAAAAAAAGACACTAAACCTTAGCTGTGTTTTAGACTGCAGAGACACTGTGGGAGATCCAGAAGACTGCCATGGTTATACAGTGTGGACACAGTCAGTCTATGCCATTTTACCAGAAGGCCAAAGAGTGTTTCCCAGCTCTGTTTTGTTTACAGCAAAGCCATAGCTTTTCTCAAAAGCTGATTTGTGCTTGCATATCTTGGCATTCAGCAAAGTTGGAGTTGGCAGTAAACAGCTGAACTCTTGCAGTGGCACAGAAAATGCTGAGGCCTGCATCTTCTGAGGAAGGTACAAGAGGTTTGGCCAAAGGTTCCTTCTAGCTTCCTGGGAGACAGTGTTCCCCCTTAGAGCATCTTCTGTTTGTATGCAGTTACCACTTTAGAGAGCTGTCAGAGAGCTGGCAATAGCAGCTAAATCCTCTGTTTTTTCACCTGAAGAGGGTGATGAAGAGCAGTCCACCAAGTTCCATGGAGAGTTCCATGAAGCTCAGGCAAAGACAGTGCGGGTTTCCCATGCTACACCAGTTCCTCAAAACTCCTGTCAGACTTCTGGAGTGCCACATAAAACATCCATCCTGCCTGTTCACCAGGTTTCCGTGCAAGAGTGCTGTTCATGCAAATATTGCCTTCCAGACCTGCTTGGCTTTCAACGGTCCATACTTGTACAGCCCAGTGATGTCCTCCCAGCCTGATATGCACCAGAGCCTGAAAGCAGACCCAGTGGGAGCCCATGAGAAATCAGTTTCCCTTCAGTATGTGACCCTCCCAAAGGAAGACTGTCCCCAGGCACCACGGAGGCAAGAGCAGCCAGGAGCAGGTCCTCCACAGCCCTTCCTGCTCCCAGCTCAGAAGGAATCCATGCAGCACCTTGACGACGAGAAAGAAGTCTCACCAGACCCACCAGCCTGTGGGAAAGGCACGAACATGAGAACAGAAGAGCAGAAATCTCCAAAGGCTCTTAGCTGCATCACATCTCCTCAGCAGTGCCCCTTGGAGTACATCACCACAGACAGCCTGTCACTGCCATCAGCCAGCGACTCCACCCATCCGCCCCTTGTCACCAGTGGGGAGTTCCCTTGTCACCCACAGGAGCCCCAGCCCCCCAGCGACCACTCTTGCCGTGAGTCTTCTCCTGGGAAAGCTGGTGTCATGGTCCCAGTTGCAGGTCAAGCACCAACCTCTTCTCCTGAATTGCACCTGGATACATTTGGAGACTATCTTACTGTCCCTTCAGATCTCCACGGACATTCAGAACCCACAAAAATGTCCTTACACATTTTTTAAAGTGATGTATTATTTTTTATTCCCCAAAGACTCTGTGTTGGAGAACTACATAGTCATATTTAGTCCTGGCAGCACAATAACATTTTTCCTCCGTTATGGGCAATTGCTACCCTGTCCTCAACCTAAAACGCAGTAAGAAGGTGCAAATGAATCAGAAAGATCTCCAAGTTTATTGAGTTTGCATGGCAAGGTTTTGGTAGTGGGAAGTCTACAGAAGTGGCTTCTGTGAGGAGATGCCAGAAGCTTCCCCCATATTTGACAGAACCAGTTCCAGCTAGCTCCAAGACGGACCCACTGCTGATCAAAGCTGAGCCAATCAGCAACATCGGTAGCACCTCTGTGATAACGTATTTAAGAAAAAAGTAAAAACTGCTGCGCAACAGCATCTGGGAGAAAGGAGTGAGAATATGAGAGAGAAACAACTATACAGACACCAAGGTCAGTAAAGAAGGAGTGGGAGGGGGTTATTCAGGTGTTGGAGCAGAGATTCCCCTGCAGCCCGTGGAGGGACCCCAGGCCGGAGCAGGTGGATGTGCCCCAAAGGAGGCTGTGACCCTGTGGAGAGCCCACACTGGAGCAGGCTCCTGGCAGGACCTGTGGCCCCATGGAGAGGAGCCTACAGTGGAGCAGGTCTTCTCTCAGGACCTGTGGCCCCTCGGGGAACCCACACTGGAGCAGTCTGTTCCTGAAGGACTGTGCCCCATGGAAAGGACCCACGCCGGAGCAGTTCGTGAAGAACTGCAGCCTGTGGGAAGGACCCACGTTGGGGAAGTTCATGGAGAACTGTCTCCCATGGGTGGGATCCCATGCTGGAAGAGGGGAAGAGAGTGAGGAGGAAGGAGCAGCAGAGACAATGTGTGATGAATTGACTGCAATCCCCAGTCCCTGTCCTCCTGCACTGCTCAGGGGGAGGAGGTAGAGAAAATGAGAGTGAAGTTGTGCCCAGGAAGAAGGGAGGGGCGGAGAGAAGGTGTTTTAAGATTTGTTTTTCATGTCTCATTATCCTACTCTGATTTAATTGGCAATAAATTCAATTCATTTCCCCAAGCTGAGGTTTTTTTGCCCATGGCAGTAATTGCTGAGTGATCTCCCTGTTCTTGTCTTGACCCATGAGCCTTTCATCATATTTTACTTCCCCTGTTCAGTTGAGGAGGACGAGTGATAGAGTGCCTTGGTGGCATCTGGCAGCCAGCCAAGGTTAACCCACCACACTAAGTAAATAAGTTTTGGAAAGCCATTAAAATGTTCAGATAGCCTGCACATGATGGTGGGTCCATCAGTGGCAAGGAAGACGATGCGCAGAATATCAAGGTCATTCAGATGTTCAGAATACTAAGGAAAGCTGCTGTGGAAAGGAAAGTAGCCAGCTTTGAGCTTCAGAAAAGCCTGCTGAAGTTGTAGAGGTCTTAGATAACCAAGAAAAAAATCGGAAAAATTACACCATTATAACCCCATTTTCTTTCTACAAAAGCTACCTCTCCTGTCCAGCTTCTAGTCCAACATGGTTAAAGATCTCAAGCAACCCTACCCCTTTCTTAGTTATATTAATGTATTTGGTAAAAGGGACAGGCCATAATTCCCCTGTACCTGCATTGAGATAGGCTTGCTTCTCTTTCCCCTGATAGTTGTGATTGGCAGGGGAAGAAGCCAGATTTAGCTAGGGCTCCTTCCTAAAAATAGGTAAATCAATTTCAGTTCAAGCCTCTCGGGTTATAGGAAAAGAAAATAATTTTGCTTGGGCACATAATGAGCTTGGATAATCAGTTTTCCTGCTCAACAGCAAAGAATCCAATGGCTTAAAAGAAAAGGAATTTTATTAAAAAGCATAAAATGGCAACTCAGTATAAACACTTGCAGGCCTGTTTACTAAAATTAGCAATAGAACCTGAAAGCTTCTTGGTAATGTAGTCCACTCCCCTGTTTTGCCCAGAGCTGGGAGACTCCATCGTCCATCTGTAAGATGTTGCTCTTAAACCTCTCTTACCACTTCCAAGTGGAGTGATCCCACCTCTGATACTGGGTTGCTACTTTTGGCAGCTTCAGCCCACGAAGCCCTGTCCACAGCCCCACACTGTCCCCTCAACATTTCAGATCCTCAGAGAGGAGTCTGTAGCAAGCAAAACCCAAAAAGATCCCTGAGGAACACACCATTTGGAGGTTGTTTTTTGGTTGGTTTATCTATCTATCTATCTATCTATCTATCTATCTATCTATCTATCTATCTATCTATCTATCTATCTATCTATCTATCTATCTATCTATCTATCTATCTATCTATCTATTCATTTTCTTGCTCCATTGCTTCTTTGCTCTACCACTATCAAGACAAACACCACAGGTAATTCCTATCCTCAAAACACCATTCTTTCTCGATGGATAAGTGTTTTAAATACCTTTAAACTTAAGAAACAATTGTATTTCAACATCAACGTTTGAGAGTGAAATCCACTGAAGTCAATTCACTTGCTCCATTGTTGTTGTGATCTCTAGCCACTTCAGGCAGTGCTGGATTTCTCTTTGATCCCATTATAGGCAGGATCAGCAGCAAGTACTCCATTCTTTTAGGAATACTGGACTTATCTCAGGATAAATGAGGCTCTGAATTTAAGTTTTATTTCAGTGTAAGCTTTACAGCATAAAGGATTTAATTTAATAGCAGGCTGAAGACTTTGATAAGAGTTCTTGCAGTCACTATCTCCCATTCTTACAGGTGTTACAATTTCTCTAATAAGTCATTCAAAATAATTTGCAGTGGAGATACCGAAGGTTGGAATCTTTCAGGATAACATGAGATAGACAGAAGTCAGAGGGTTAAATGAAAAGAAAAATAAAGGTTGGCTGAAGAACAGGAAATTTTTATTAAAACTGATATTCTGCAAAATGATCTGTGCCTCAACTAGAGGGATGCATAAGCCTAAACTGGGAAATACCCATTACTGCAAGGAAAACTAGAAGATATGAGGAGAGTGCTGCAGAAGCTTGGATGCACTTGGTGTCTTCTATTTCAAATTGCTGTAGTATGATTATCTCTATTTCAAATGTACTGACTGTTTATAGATGATTGAAACAGTTCTTAAATAGCTATTTTGGTGAACGGCTTAGAGAAGAATCCTTTTCATTTCCCCCCCTCCCCACCTCCCCAGTTCTGCCCTGTCAGATAAAAACAGCTCAGAGCTGCCACCCAATGATCAGACCTTGTAACATCACATAAATACAGGCTAGCTATGTTGTAACATACTCACTTCAGGGAGACAACATAGCAGAGGCCAACTAATTTCTCATTGCATAAAAAAGGCACTCTTCAACCCCAACATCTGCATACCCCATCACTCATTGCCTTGCCTGCAACAAGGTCCTTTGCTTAGAAAATTTAATTTGTTAACCTGTTAACTTTGCTTTTTTTCTTCTGTATTGATCTTCTGCTGGTTTATCAAGTTGAATCAGTTCAGAGTGTGGGCAGGGAAGTGTCAGCACCAGCACAAAACAAGCAAAAAGCAATGAACTGCTGAGAGCAGAGGAATGGGTAAAAGGTAGATTTCAGCTGCAGTGAGCACTTATTTCAGCCCTGTTCTTGCCTAACTGAAGCTGACATGCTACTTGGAGATACCAAAGCCGGCTTTAAGTATGATGTTTGGGTACCCAGAGCACTCTAGTCAACACATAGTGCCACACAGGGTAATGCTCCTTGCCAAGGTTCTGGCTAAACTAATCTGTTCAGCACTCAGAGGCTTCAGGTATTGATTGCTCCCGGTGTCTGCTCTGTCTCACTGAAAGCTGTCAATCTCTGCAGCTTTCCGTGTGTCACCCATCAGAAAGTGTTTGCCCCTGGCTGAGCTGTAACATTTGGCAAAGCAAAGAAGATGAAAGGATATTGCCACATGTATGTTTACTCGGTATCAGCTGTCACCCCTTTGAGTACATCACACAATGCCAACTACTTTGTACTCTTTAAGTGCTTATAAAAATATTTTATTTTGGAAAACTGCACAAAGTGACTTTACTCCACTGCAGGAGGCAAACACCACAGCTTGTGGCCGAGTGTATTGGTGCACCGAGACCTTTCAGTCTGTTTCTCTTCTGACCTAGTCTCTTCATGAGCCTTTCATGGGTAGCAAAGGGCATTTGCTCCAAGCTGTACCATAACCCTGCAGTCTGCCTGCCCTCGTGCCTATTTCTCATGTCTATTAGAGACAGCTCTGTAAATCTGTGTGCTGATCCAGCCCATGTTGTGTTTTGTTAGTTAACTCTGCCCTGAATGGCCTGCCTCCAGTATGCCAAACGATGCCTGTAGATTTCTGTTCAGCTCCATGTTTTCTGGATTAGGACCTGCTGCGGCCTCAGAAGACAGCATTTATTATGTACCTGGTCATGCCGGTCATCAGTGCTGGATGTGACACTCTGTAGGGTGTTCCTACAGAGCTGGGCTGTTCAGCTGAAGCTGGAGTGATGTGTGCTCGGACAGGAGCCACTTGGTTCTGATGTACAAGGAAAACCCACAGGGATGTTTCTACAAGCTGCCATTTGGCCAGTCTCCTTAATCTGAAAGGCTTGGACATGTGCCTGGAAACATCAGAATTCCAAATGGTTAATTATTGGTGGTGAAAAATTATTATCACTTGATTATCACTAGTTACATTTTAACTTCCCTCACTACTTTTATGAAGTCAGCATATTGTTAGCTAATCCCCAGATGATGGAGGGTGAAGTAACAATTCTGCCCCAAAACAGTTCGTATCCCGGAGCAAAGCATCAGTCTTTTAAAATGTTGAAAGCCTGGGACCAGATGGGAAACATCAGGTCATGGCTATTCCCAGACACCTACTTCGTGACTGCTGCACCAAACTGCTACACTTTGGAGCTGGAAGGCAGGATCCTGCAGTAAGAGCCATTAAATACAGTGAGAAAAACACATCAGGAAGTCCTAAAGACACTGCATCTCCTGCATCATTCAAACCCTTGGGGGTTCCTTGGGTACTGTCCAGTTACACTCTCTGCACTTCAGATTGTGCAGACTGTACGGTGGATGCATGTGCTTCTCTCTGAGACGTTTATATTTGAGTTAGGGAAAGGCCTGAGAGGGGGGAGTAGGGTTTATGAGAGCTTCAGTAAGGGTCCATTCACACTGTGGGGTGATCTGCAGATTGAAGAACTCCTGGGGCTTCCTGAAGATTTCCTGTTTTAGGTGGGATAAACTCAGAATTTTTTGCATTGGCATGGCCTGCAAATAGTGTGGGCTTTAGTCAATGCCCTGATGCCTCCTCTTCTCAGATGAGCTTTTGTTTGTTTTCGCACATTGCTGTTGCTCCCTGCCAGGGTAAGAGTGTTCCCTGAAATCCTCCATGTGACAGATACAGCAGCAGCAGTAGAGTGGTGAGCAGAGAACCCTCCTTTCCTACACCATGTAGGCATCTGGTGCCTATCAGACGGAGTTGCGCCTGTGTTATTTGGTGCCTTTCTGACAAGAGAGCCTGAATTCACCTCAGAAGCGTCAACAGGGAGCTGGTTCTTCGCTTGATGTGTCCAGCTGCTATGCACACAGAGCACTGGAGCTCCCCTCTGTGGGAGTTTTACAGCCTTCTGTGTGGGGAGAGAGGTAGGCAGCACTCAGGTCCTCGGGCAGCCTTGGTTCGTTGCCCGCACACCCTCTGTGCTTCTCTCTGGACTGCTGGGGCAGCGGTCGACGTATCAAATCTTCTGGCAAACACGCGTGCACACATGCGCGCACACACGCGTGCACACACATGCGCTCCCCCTCCTCTTACACCGCTCACAGGTCTCTGCCTTACGTGCTGACTGGAGGAATTTCTGGCCTCCTCTCACCACCACACCCCTCTGCAAGGGTGTGCGCCTCACGCACTGCTCAGGCCCACCCTACCAGTGACCAACAAAGCCATTTTTGCATTCACCTTCAGATTTCTCTTTCGTTGCTCTCCCCAAAGACACCCAAATGAAGAGGGGCAGAGAGTACCAGCAACGAATCTGCTGTTGACAACTAGCAAGCAATGGGTTTGTACTTTATATGGATGTTTATTAAATGACTGAGGAAGAAGATTCTTAGTTGAATATACTCCAGTCTTCAAACTTTATCTTCTAAGGCTTGCCCTTTTTCTTCCCATATTTTTCCTCCAATGCTTTCTGCAGATTAAGATTTAGGGCATTTTTCTCATGCCATTTCCCTGTAAAGGAGGAAAATCATAGTTCAGTTACAGCCTCCCTTCTAATGCTATTACCTCTCAAGGATTTTTCTAGCTGTAGAGCTCCTCTCCTGTGAAAATGCCAATTTCTAGTCCCTCCACAACTTTGCCCAAACCCATTCATTGTCCTTGGCAGAAGCAGCCGGCCATCTCAGGAATTCAGCAGTGTACTTTTCCTGGCAGAAGCCATACCTAGCTCATCAGTCCTTCTTCCATGCCAATTATTGGGATCCCTGACTGCCTTCTGAATTATATCAGGGGTGTAGGAATCTTTCATCAAGCTTCGGCATTCTAGTGGTCCACCTGCAAGGAACAGAAAATAAGGAACTGTGCACAGAAATCACACTGCTGCAGTCCTGGAATTGAGCAAAGGAGCAACAGCAGCAGTTTTGAGGGCTCAAGAAAAGGCATGTGTTGACTGCAATAGCGTTGATCAGGTGTGTGGCTAGGTGCTGAATAATGGCTTCATCATCACCCAGGAGGGAGCTTATGTTTGCCAATTTATCTGCTTTTCAACCTCAAGTATGAGGCACACACAGAGGGTACTGCAAGCTGTCGTTTTTATTTGTATCCCAGTGCCCTTGTTTTAGTCAAGTGGCCACTTATCTCCTGTTGAATCTCCTCATTCATGTAACTTCCTATTCAGAAGCACAGCTCCACAGAAAGCATCATCTTACCACTCCAGGCATTCTTGAACTCTTTTTCTGCCATGATATTTAACAAATAGTTCCCAACTATGACTTTTTATCCCCTCTTGACTTCTAGGCATTTGAGGGGGCTTTGTTTTACTCTCTCATCCTTTCCTCTTCACCTTCCTTTTTATTGTACCCGTTCCTTGATAATAATGATTTTGAGCTCCCTGGGGAAAGATGTCCTTCCTTTCGGTGTGACTCCACAAACCCAGGACAAAGCAGTCTTTAATACCCAGCAAGCTCCTGTCATGGAATGTACTGTATAAGGAAAAGGAATCTGTCTCATGCTGGTACCTGAGAAACTGGAATCAGAGACAATTATTTCAGAGTTTCTGGCATATGATGGTAACAAGAACGGATGAATGCTTAGTTCCCAATATTTGTTTAGATGGAGGGATCCCTGGGCACCTTAGAAACAGAGGTTTGGGGAAGACACATCAGAGTTCCACATCTCCAAAGGTCTTCAAAAGAAATAACATCAGTATTGGAACTGCAGGTAACTTGGGATTGGTAATGATAAGGGATGCTGAATTACAAATGGTGTCAATTTGGACAGATCAGAACATGGAGGAGAGGGGTCATGATACACCTTCACTTTTCACACCCTGGAAAAAAAAAAAAAGAGTGGGAGAAAAGAAAGGGATAGAATACATAGAAAGGGAGGCTCTAGCTTTCATTGTCTCAGTCACCACAGCCTAGAAAAGCAGTGATGGTGGACAGAGGGAGTAAGAGGGGAAATTAAAGGTCACCTACAGTCAGATCTCTACCCAAAGCTGTGTGGCTGCCCTGAACCCAGGCAAAGTGTAGATGGAACCAGCTTTGAAGGTCAGGCATAGATATGTGTGTCCTCTCACCTTGGAAGATACTTGATCTCAGGTTAAAACCCAGCTCACGGCTATCAGCAAAAGATGTAGAGTTCAAGGAGTTTTTCAGCATTTCAGTACGGTCTCCGAGTCTCTTCTGGCCCATGATTAATGCTGCCCTGCACTGAGCTCGCCGTTCCTGAAAACATGAATAACAAGGAACCACTGTCAGTCCATGCTCCCTAAGAGCAGCAAACTCCTGATATTTCCACCCCTGCATAAGTGTTGGAGCTATGACTAATCCCGGAGGCCTGGGTCTGTCCTCGAGTCTCCCTCAGTGGCTTCTGTAGGCATTGCAATTGCATGGGATGACTGGGACTGGTAACAAGGGGTAGAATTAGAAAGCAATGATGGTGTTGGGACCTGGACTGGGTCCTGGTACCACAACATTTTGCCTTGCTGAGTTGGGACTCTGCCTGGCTACAGGAACCTTATAAATGAAAAGAGAATGGAAAAACAAAATTAAAAAAGACATGGGAAAGGCTGTCTGTGGAATGTGTCACTGAACCATAGTGTGAAGCCCAAATCCATCCCTCTACATGTCTTCTAGAAACTGCTAATATACTGCTAATATCCTACCCACTCAGCCCCCTGCTACACCCTAAAAACAGCCTTCAACCTGCCACAAAGGATACATGAAAACAGCTTCCTCCAATACCTCTTCATTGCTGCTAAGTTCACCTCCACTAGCAAATTTGTATTTCTTGTTAGCATGGATCAAGCTGTTTCTCTTCTCCAGAAGCTTCCATTCTGCTTTCCTATCTGTCCCTAATGAGGACAAAGACTCCTTGCCACTTAATCTGCTGCAGGTCTCCGCAGCTTTTTTGTAGCTGGTTTTGATGGTCTTCCGGGTAGATCCAGACCCTCCAGACCGCAGTGTCTGGTGCTGGCCTGCTACTCGTTCTTTGGCATTTGAGACAAATTTGGTGTCTTCTGCTTCCTTCTGCCTGGATATTGCAGACAGGTGGTAAGTGCTGTTCTTCCCTCTTGGCTCATGCCCCACTATTGGGTCTTTGCCAGCAGAAGTATCTTTTTTTTCCTTTTCAGGTCTCCTTGAATGAAGACTCTGCGTGGGCGTAGTTTTGGCCTGGAGACTCTGTTTGTTCGGTTTTTTAGTCTGAACACACTTTGGGGAAGGAGATGCTTGGGATTTAATAGGTGTGGAATTATTTGTTGTCCCCTGAGCCACTGGGTCCTCAGAGATCTCCCAGGAGGCTCTGCTGGAGCTCCTTTGGGGTGTTGTCTGCATGCTGAGACATAAGTCTTCCGGAAGATGCTCCTTTTTCCCTTCCTCGGGTTCCACTTAAAGACAAAAATAATAGCTCAATGAATCTCATACTGTTCTGATGACAGGTGCTACTGTAAATGGAGCTGGAAACAACTGGACATGTCATTGTGCCATTGTCAGACAACAAAGAAAAACATTAAAGGTCTCAAAGATGGAAAGAAAAGAGAAGAAATCAACAACCTAGCAGCATTATACCAATCTTCCTCCTGAACCAGGTGAAGGCTCCTGAGGAGTCTTAAATGCTCTTGAGAGATGAACATGTACAGAAGTGTGGAAGCAAAAATCTTATGGCCAGACATGCACACAAAGGTCTGTGTTCCCTTATGTGCCTCTCCAACCCACGATGACTCTCACCCTCCTGAACGTGCACTTACAGTCTCTGTGGCTCATCGGTATTTGCTGATGAGTCTACAGCACATCAGTGGCTTACTGTGCCTGTGCAGAGAGGTAGTGAGACAAGTCCACCAGTGGAGGAAGACACGCCTAGGGTGGGGGGGATTTTAACCCATCAGCCCATGGCACATGAGATCCCTGTCCCAGTAATATTCACCCACAGAGGTACATGCAAATCTGGACAGCACGAGGGGAGGGATGGAATGACAGACAGCCTCACAAGCTGTAATGCAAAACAAGCTCTGAAGGAGGGGCAGCTTCTCTGCCATCTTACTTACCTGAAGTACTGTTGGTCAGCACAGAGTCACCTTCTCCCATGTCAGGTATAGGGGAAATCAGAACCTTTAGCAACCCCTTGGAAGAGAAACAAAGGCTGTGTCAGGCTCAGATGGCAAGGAAAGGGACAGCGGCCCTACTCATCTTTAGATTAATCTCACACAAATGTATTATACACCTTTCCAGATCAAGACAGAGATGACCCTGCCTGCCTCCCTGGTTGGTCCTATAACCCATGATCCGCTCAGATTAAGAAAGCACAGAAGTTCTGCAGGATTTCACATTAACAGCTTACATGGGACAGCCCACCTAGGAGATGGCCAGCTGGTACCTCTGGGGAATACTGAGCTGCAAGAGTTTTCACAGGCAATGGTGCAGACAAGCCAAAATTGAAAAAACCTCATTGAAAACGTCATTTTTTATTCTGAAACACATAGAGATACCAGACTTGTTGTGTGCCATACAATTACAACAGTTCCATTCCTTGGTGTAAGGCCAGAAAAAATGGGGAGAGGAGGTGGTAAACCTAAAATACCTTTGCAGTGCTGGCTGTGCAAAGGTAGAGAGACAGGCTGGAGACAGGTGCCAATCTCAGCACAGACTATCCCCTGTGTTGCTCTGCTAGTCCTGCTGATGTGATTGATCCAACACCCAGCCTTTGCAAACTGCCTCCTGCACCAGGAGGAAGCTCATGTCTTTCCTGCAGAAGGGATGTGGCTGTGTAACCCTCAGTCACGTCCTGCTGACTGTCTGTGCTCCTCATCCCAGCGGGACCCAACAGGCTTAGCCCGTGAGAAACCCGTGACAGGTTTCAACTGAAGCCGCGGCCCACGGTGGTGAATATGGTAATTGTGAAACTGCTGGCACCAGCAGCAGTACAAATGGGATCTGGATAGGGATGTACGTTTGCATTTGTCAAATTAGCTCATGACATGACATATATGCTTACCTTTGGCTCTTGAGGTTAGTTATTAGAATGAAGACACCAGCTGATGGGGCAGGAAACCTACTGCTTCAAAGTGAACTCACCAGGGCTGACTTGAACCAGCAGCTTGTGTTTTACACTGTGTCAGCACTTTGCAGCAGCATGCTTGGTACAATAATGGGATCCTGAGGCTGAAGTAACTGTATCAGTCAGACTCCAGGAGTCAGCTCTGCAAATGTATTAAGAGACAGAACCTCTCCCACAAAAAGAACAGGGCCACAAGAGATGAAGAGTGGAAGCCAGTCCTGACTCACAGGGCACAATCTGCTGCTTTTCCATACCATTCCATTTTTCATTCTTTTTAAAGAAGAGCCAAACATTTACACATGATCAAAGTGCAGGAATCTGCGTTGCTAAATAAACTCCTGTGTTGTTAACTCCCACCTCCTACTTAAAACAAAAACATGTATGTTTGCTATTAGTACTATATTCAGTGGAAACAACTTCCCAGTCTGCTGTTGTAGAAATTTCTCCTCTCCCATTTCTTCCCACAAAGCAGAATTTCTGTGTAATGAGGCAATGTGCTCATTTCCCAAATCCCATTCATTGATAACTTTCATTTCTCCAGTTCCTCTTGGGCAAAACGACGATGAAGCCTGCAACTGTTCCTGCTTTCTAGTTTGTTAATGTATATGATGTTATTGCTTATTGTTCATTTTACTTCTGAGTCTGAAGGTCCAAAGTCAAAGCACCACTCGGAGGCTCCTACATCTTGATGCCAAGAAGGACTTTAAGGCCATTTGACTATTGCCCTGGATAACAGAGGCCACAGAACTATGTCTCCTTACTCCTTTGCTAAGCCAATTCTGTGAGGGACAACAGATGACATACCAGAAAAGATACGTCTTGATCAAAGAGCTAAAAATTATTAAACTTGATCTTTCGTTCTGGATGTAAAACCACCCAAAAAGTATGTTTAGCATAGCCTAGCACTCCGACTTTCCTGACGTACAGCCATGGAGGAAAGAGGGAGCTGGCTTTCCCAGGCAGAAAATTAACCTCCTCAGACAGGTGTAGAAACTGGTATGCCATTCTCACCAGCCATGAGATGTGGTCAAGAAAGGTCTCATATGCCTTCCACATCTTGTTGGGCCTCCAAAATATGAGATTTCAGTGTCTTCCCAGACCTGAGAAGTCCCATGGGTGTCACCATGAAATTGGATTTTTTTATATCGTTTAAAAAAAAAAAAAAAAAAAAAAGGGGAGAAAAGATCCAGGATTTAACAAGAGGGAAAGCCTCTTCCATAACTACCTCTTTCACCTGGTCCACGATCCCTGATGTGATGCCACAGTGATTCATACAAGCAGGTAGGTCCTGCTGAAGTCCAGGTATGGAGGTGGGACGAAGGCTGAAGTGCAGTAATGGTTGCTAGGGAACAACCCTCCCTCTATCTATGAGCTGTGGTCTCCATGGGAACCAGAAGAAACACGGCAGAGATCAAGGTCATCCTTGCTGATTGAAAAAAACAAACAAGGAGGAGGGTAAAAGGCTCATGTCTCATGAAACACCTGTGCCCAGAAGTTCTCACCACATACACAGGACTTCTTGGAGACTTTTGTAACAGTTACAATAATCAACCAGACTGAATTTCAGCAGCACTGGACCTTCTAGCATTTCCAAATGCTTCACATGAGCTCACTGACCTCCATCAGAGGAAGGGGAAGGTGCCCCCATTTTCCACATTAGAAAAGGGAGATGGTGGCCTGGCAAAAGGTCTTACATTGAATCAGTGACAGAACCACAGCTTGGCCCTCATGTGTCCGGCACCCTGTGCTGTATTTTAGCCCTGGACTTCTAATCTGTTCTGCTGCACCATGGACCTGAGCTCTTGCCAGGCCACCAGAATTTTTGCAAGTCTCTAGGGAAGAGTGCAACTCTCCTTCAAGTTGCAAAGCTGCTTTTCCTACCCAGCACAAGCAGGTCACAGGCAACAGAGAAGAATTAGAAATATTCACAGATGCATCATCTCAGAAGTAGATTTTATTCATTGTGAGAAACTGAAAGATTGATAAAAGTCTATTCATCATTCTTAGAAAAACTGGCAAAATATAAATCAGCATGTTTTTTCCTTACTTCCACCTTCTCCCCTTCCCTGTACCCTGGGCTGGAGACAACTGCTAGATCTCACTGCCCAGGGAACAGTTCTCCCTCTAGGCCTTGCTGCGCTTCAACTCAGAGACCTTGTAGCGAGGTGGGGCACGGTGGAACCACTCTGACCAGGAACCATCATAAATAGCCACATCACGCTTGCCACACAGGTAGGCTGCCAAGGCAATGTGACATGCCGTGACACCTTTGCGGCACGTGGCCGCCAGTGGCTTTGAGAGATCCACTTTATTCTCACGGAATATTTGTTGGATCTCCTCAATACTCTTCTCATGGCCAGTTTCTGTCAGGAATGAGCGGAAGGGTATGTTCACAGCGCCAGGGATGTGACCAGATTCCAGCCCTGCAGGAGTGAACAAGAAAAGGAAACATGAGCAAGGAGACATTAATGTAGGTGATGAAACACACCTACAAAAGAGACATTAAAGAGATATTACTGCAGATACTCCCCACTCTATCCAAGATACTAATTCGTTTCAGGTGATGATGAAGACACAAAGCAGTATGGGGCTAAAAAGAGGACAAAGTTTATCCAACTTTGCTGAAGTCACAACTTCTGGAATATTTAGCCAACTATTTCCCCCCTGAAAGCAATAAGAAGTAGGAATCTGAAGAAGCCTAGATGTGGCAAGAATCAAAGTACCACTACAGAAAAGACCCTAACAAGGGCATGAAGGGGATCTGTATAACGAGAAATGCAGTAGTGCATTTCTGACTTTCCCCAAGTATGCCAGCAGTGTGCAGTGACACAGCCTTCAGAAGCAAGAAGTGTGGCTTGTATGTGGAATTTGTGAAAGTAATTATCTGTTCACAGTTTATTCCTCTGTCACCTTCAAATTGTATTTCAGAAAAATAAATCAACCTTAAAGTCAGCCACATTACGGCTGCGGAAGCTACCCTGGGGCAATGGGGTCAGAGAAGTGAGAATTGAGATTTTGTATCACTTTTTACCCACTCCAGGGATGAAATCAGCATGGGTTCTGTTTTCCTACTGGTATAAGTTGCACTTCAGGCAAGTTGAAAGTTGCATCTCAAGAACAAGGTCTTCAGAGAAAAGCAGATATAAAAATATGATGGATAAGATTTTCATCACGGCTTTGATGTTCAAACTCTATCACTATAGGCTTAATCAAAGTCCATTACACCCAACGAAACCTCATCCACTGAATTTGAGAGGCTTTGGATCAAACCTCACTGGAACAGGAAACATTATATATTACATTTCAAGGAATGTTTCCTTGCTGGGTTTGAACTTAAAATGAGACAGCCCTGGGAAAGTCACATACATAGTAATGTTTCACTGACAGCTTTTCACTTGCCTAAGTCATCAGGGTAAGTGATCTCAGGAGATGGGAGAGACTGGGGCAGGGAACCTTTATCACAGTCAAATGATTAAAGTATACCTAGTCAGAGATTGACATCACATATCACAGTGACGCTGCAGTTTCATTGCTCATGCAGAGTGATATGATGACATGATGAGATGTGTCATAAGGGCAAAACAGGGTTCTGGCAGGGTATTGAGAAGGGGATTTTTGCTCTGCTAGACAAAGTGTGAGAGCCTAAAGACAACCAAAGCTGCCCTGAGTCAGCTTCACAAGATCTCTCCCTGTTCCAGATGGACCCTCTTTGTCTCTTGATTTATCCTTCCTGAGTGACACTGTTGTCTACTAGTCGCCTCATGCATCCTTCAGAAGTGTTTAGCATTACAGGGAGAAGTCGGGAGAAAAACTGCTGACTTCTGGAGGGACTAACATTAAAAAAAAAAAAAAAAAAAGACTGTTTTAGACTGATGCTTTCACCACATTTTCTCCAGTTCCAGAAAACAACAGTTCATCACTTCAGGACAGAGAACTGCAACCCATGCTCATTAATATAGTGTCTGTATGACAGAGGGGAAATAAAAATAAAAATAATACAAAAAAGAGTGTGAAAAAACCTTGCTTGTAGTTCTCAGACTGCAGAGCTTCTTACTGAAGAGCAACATGTCTGGGTTATGCTACTGCTTTCCCACAGAGTGAATGGTCCTGACCCTGTCATTTGGCAAGGGATTCCTGCAAGGCTCTGCCACAGTACTGGTGAGCACCCCAATACCGAGAAGTCTGTGGCTGCAGAACAATGCTCTCACACCATCCTAGAGCACTGGGAAGTGTACCGAGATCAAGAAGTCCTGCGGGCTGAACTAAAAGGGCCAGCTCTTGCTCAAAGAAGCCTCCTGGGCCACCAATTCAGTTCTCAGGTATCCCAGACCCCATAGTCATGATCGCTTTTCTAGACTGTTCATACATCTTAAAATAGGTAGGTTTGTACCCCTCTTTTATTGGAGACTGCCGTGACGTACACTCATCACCTTTGAACAACTCTTCAGTTAGGAGCTGAGCAGATCTGAAAAGAACAGTCTTATTTTAGAGCATTTTGGACTTTGATCTATAGGGAGATTTCCTTGCTCCAGAGATTCAAAAGTCCAAAGACCAGTGCTTGCATTCTGTGAGTGAAAGATGGGGAATTCTGTAAAAACTGCATTTACTCATGTATGTGGGTGTTCAGCTGAATGAAAGAGCTGACACTGCACAACCACAATCCCTTGGACTGCCTAAGAAGTGCTCTTGAGTAGCTGAGGAAGTTTTATCAGCTCACTCTCTGCTAGGACAAGAACAAAGAAACTACAGGACTGGAAGGCAAGGCTGGATGCAGCTGGGATCTGAACAGGGGAGAGGATACATCTGCTACTGCCTCACATGACACAGAGCATACTCCACGCCAGATTCATGCAGTCACCCTTAGAAGCACCAGGAAGGAACCCTAAGGTTACAGATCCTGGCTCCCAGCTACTCTAGTGATCACTTTATAGGCTCCCTCTCATAAAAGCATCCATCTCAGAAACTGTTTGGATTCTTGCCATGAAACTTCCCGCTGAGACACCACCTTGCTCACGTGAGGAGGAATATTAATTTCCAACGTTAAGGTCATCACAGTCAGTCCATATACCATTTATCCTTGAGCTAACATTGCCCTGTAGCTGAAATACTTTTTCTCTCTTTCTGCTATTGCTCCAACATACTGACAGCGAGCACTCAGCACTCCCAACAGCCTCATGCCCTCACCCTAAACCCAGTAAGAACACATCAGATACACTTTTCACTGCCTCAACCACTCCAGAAACAGCTCTAGGTGACCACCAGGCTTCTGGATAAGGAAGTGGTATTTCTCAGTTGGTAGACAGGAAGTTAGTAATTGCTGTTGTTGAGGCCAAATCACATCTGAGGTTCCTGCAGCAAACTAATTCATCCAAGTCTTACCCTCTTCTATTGCTTCCAAATGTGCGCCTTCAGCTTGTAAGAAAAACACAAGCAATTAAGTGTTTCGGGCTACTAAGCATCCAGCCTTGCTCTCTGTAGCGTTATACTTCCTGTCAGTTCTATCACTGCAGGTGGTACCTCAGATAACGCTCCCAACGGGATCATTTAAACCTTCCCAAGGCTGTGCCAGCAGCACATTTCAGTAGCAATTCCCTATTTTCAGTGCCTTGATGATTCAGAAAAATATGAAATAAAGCACAGAAGCATAACGATGGCACCATGCTGGCAACTTCCAGCCCAACGGATCTGCTTTCAGCACAAGCTATTCTTATCACCTTTATTTTCCCTTCAGTCAGTTTTTTGGGAATCTAACAGTACTTGAGCTATTTGCCCTCTTCTCACATTGAACTAGTCACTGCCCCTCTAATATTATTTCCAAAGTATTAATGAAGTTCAAATGGAACAAGTTTACCTTGCAGGTGCCTTCAATGGCTACAAGATCAGACTTAACCTCCAGGCATGCATATTCTCATTTCTCTTATCTGGAGAATCAATTCTGTTTGCAAGGAAATAGAGCCCTTCGCTCCAATGCAAGTTTACTAAGGTATCTTACTCAATTTTGCCTTCATTTCAAATAATTTTTCTTGAAGAGTTTTTTGAAAGCCTTCCATTCTATCCATGTTACGATAACAGATCAACAGCTCCCCAGGTTGTGCTGTACCTCCTACCTTAAATACAAATACAAACTTTGCCAGTGTCTCTGTTCTACAGAACCACACTCTGATTAAATTTATTAAAATCTTGCCTCGTGGAGTTGCAGTGTCACATGACTGATTTCTGACACATATTCGGGATGGAAACTGTCTGCCTCACAGATCTGAGCACATGGGTATCTTCTGGTTATACTCCCCCTTTAGAAATTATAATTTCTGCTTCTTTCCCCTTCTTCTTGCTACCCCTTCCCCTACTCTGCAGATTTATCCTCAGGAGAAAAAAAAAAAAACAGTATCACAGACTCAGTATAATTCTGGCATCTTTCACCTGGAACCCCTGCTAACTGCATAGAAACCCTATTTACTCTTTCTCTCCTTATTCTCTTTTTATTCACTTTGCTCCAGCAGTTTTTGTTATTTAATTCCTTTTGCCAAGTCTCACTCAGCTTGGCTTCTGGCAATCCTCCCTCACAATTTGTAACCTGTAATATGTTATCTTCTTTACTGCTTAATCCCCTTTTCCACATCTGTTAAGATTCTCTGCTTAAATATATATTTTTTTTGTTGGCTATTTATCTAGCTAAGACTACAGCCCCTTCTCTCTAGCCTTTGTGATAAAAACTCCAGATGGAATTTCTTAACATCAAAAAGATAAAAATACGTGCTTTGTCCACATTTAACTCCCCATGGTCTTGGGGTTGGCTGGCTGCAGATAGCTGTTCCTTTCCAAGCGTGTCCTCTGTTGCCTCCTTTTTTATCTCTCTTCCATTCGAATTGTATGCCTCAGAAGGAACCATTAGTGATCTCACCTAACCTACTCATTGGAAGGAACGCTTTAAGCTTGGTCTTGACCGGCTCCCTTAGAGTCCTCACAGACAGATCAATAGGCCTTTGCCACCAGTGTCAAAATATTGTGCATATACAGCCAGAGGAGTCAACTCGAAGAACCAGCAGGGCCATGGTGCTAATTCTGGCAGCTGATGTTTTTCAGCCTCATCACATGAACAGACAGCTTTGGATTGTAGGTTCATGTGGGTTGAAACAGGCTTTAATAAAGTCTCTCACTCTCCATGTTGTGCCTTGAGTATTCACGGTCAAAGTAGAACCAGTCCACTCCCAGCTGCCGACTCCACTTGGAGAAGAGAGGGAAGCAGCAGCAACATTTCATTCTCACTCCCACCGCCACGGAACGTTCAATATGAGCAAAAGCTTTATGTTTGAGGCAGGGAGGACTGAGAGTCAGGAAAATGGGCAAAACCTTAATAGTTGTGTATGCGTAAGGGAGACAAGGACTACCCAAGAGCTGAGAATGAGAAGAAAAAAAAGTCGGAAGCTCATGAAATGGCTTTGGATTTGCTTTCTTTTTTAGATGATGGAATTCTTATCTGGTAACTTTCCTGTCTTCTCTCAGGTGTCTGCAAAACAGTTCAGAAATTCACAACTTTTCTGTATGCATTTGTCCAGCTACATTTCTTGTTCCTTAGTTTTCAGTGCCCAATACTCAGAGAGAGTCAGCACTAGTTACCATCATGTAATTATTTCTATCATATGCCCCTAGATTGCCTGGGATTGTCTCAGTTCAGGCTGGCTCCAGAGACCTGCCTCCTACAGCGCTTGAGTAAGCAGGCCCTTGCAGAACCACTGCTGCATGACAGCTCGTGAGCAGGCCTGAGTCCGTTAGTTCCTCCAGAAACACAGCACCGTGCAGGGACACTTTTAACCACTCAGTGCATAGGGCAGGGCTGCACATCTGATGGGCTTGTGCTGCATACCATGCACGAACATCCAAGCTTTTTCATCCAAAGCAATACCTGCATTTAAGAGCTACGAGACCTGACTTATAGAAATGCCATCTATTCTTCTCCACCCTGGTAACCTGGGTAAACCTCTCCCAGTAACTAAAAATTAGCCACATATTATGGTTAATCTTAAATGCTGTAGAGGTCTAAATCCCAGCAAGGTAGCTGCTGCGTAAAAATAAAACGAACAACTAATTCTTACCAGAAGGAACTGAAAGACTAAAGAGGCAAAAGAGTCATCTGAAATTAGCCTCTTCTAGAGATGGAGTTCATGGAACTGGAGAGATTAATTGACTTAATTAGGAAGTCAAGAGCTGAGGCAATAATTAAACTTAAATCACCTCAAGACCATTATTCTTTAAATTGCAGGCAACATTCCTCCTCCCTGATTTGATGACCCCTGTAATTAATCAGCACTGATTTCAAACTGCTCTTTTAGGTATAAGCGCTGCATTTGCCCACTGCTGGCTGTAACACAACTACTGGCTAGCCTGGTTCAGAAGGCTGTCAAGCTCCTGTGGAACAAGCAGCTGCAGCTGGAGTGCTTATCCTGCTGGATCTGCTGTGGGAAGCAAAACTGGACCACCACAAATAAACTGTTCCGTGCTGACTCATTTCAAAGGAAAAATTTGTTTTCAAGATGCTGTCAGGGGCTGCAGTGTTCGTCACCTGGTGACAACTCCCACTTTGTGAAAGAGAGTGCGAAATCTACCTGCTCCCATCAAGGAGCACTTTATTCATGTCTTGAGGTTAAATTCAACCTTTACTTTGATGGGCTGCATTAGGCAAAGAAAGAGAATGAGTGATAGGCCTAATTCCCCCTCTTTCCCTACAACAGTCTCCTCTGCCACTCCAGTTACCTCTCTCACCTTCTGCATTGTCTTGGAGGAGCTCACTGTAGACACTTATGCATAGCATGTGTAGAGAGCCACTTACAGCCAAGTGCTCCTGAGGTTTGGATGTGGTAATTTATTTCAGGGCATGGTATCACACTCAGTGGCTGTACAGCAGCACACACATAAAAAAACAACCAGTACAGAATGACAACCGACCTGCAAGCCAGCAGCGTAGCACTGCCTTGGGACCACAGAAGCCTGACAAACACACCCGCTCCTGCAACGTGGAGCTCGACCCCAACAACTGTTGCTGAGCTTTTCTGTGCTTTGTTTTTGAAACTGCATTTCTTTTTAAACCATTCCTGTGATTCCCTTCTGGAGGACAGGTTATTCTGGGTTGTATCAAGGCTTAAATTACACAATAAGGGTCTCTTTTACCAACCAACTTGAATTTCATTCAGCATACAGCACACTGCTGTACCAGCTGTCCCCATCGCACAGGACTTCTCCCACCCCTGCTGCTTGCATGCCCAGTGTTTGACTGAGGTAACAAAATCAGTTTTTGTTCCTGTTACTTGGGGTATCCAGAAGTGAGAGATTGACAGTCCACACATTAAAGATGGGTTTGGAGTTTTTCTTACTTAAGCTTGTTAGATTTAATGGCGGAGAGCAAAAGGACAAAGATCAGCTCAAGCAAGTTCCCTATTTGCTGGGAACCAAAGCAAGAAGGAAAATGTCCCTTGGGTTACTCTATTTCCTAAAACCTGGCCTTTTGCTGGTGCATTCATTATGGTGAGAGGTGCCTGTACAAATACTGATAGTTTGTGCATGTCTGCTAGTGTTAGATAGGACCCTGAACAAACCCCTGGAAGCTCTCGCCTCCTGTGTCTGCATTCTGGCTGACTAACTTCTGCAAGGTGTGGGACTGAGGATCCTAGAGCCAAATGACTGCAGACCTTTCCTGTTATTTCCTCCTGCAGCTTTATAACCAACTACAGGAAGAGCACTCTGTGAGGGCACTTGGATCTGAATACTCAACTGTGAAACCCTTAAGGTAAATCAAGGAATTAGGCTGAGGCGTGCCTGTGCAACAGGAAAATCTGTCTGCTGGCTGGGAGGAGTTGTTACACCCAGACTAATATTGACACTCATCCCGCTCTGGTGCGGGGGGCAGGTTTTTCCCCACCTCCATTACCTTGGTCCAGCTCGGTCCCCCGGAACCTGCCCTCAGGGCGGGAATCCACCACCTGGAACCGCAGGGACCCCACGTTCTGCATCATCTCCTCGAAGGTCTTCAGCAGGACCGTGTTCAGCTTGGCCTTAAAGACGGCCGGGGTGGGTTGGGTGACCTCTGCTGTGACGGGGTGGCCCTCCTTCACCCAGTTCTTGAAGCCGCCGTTCAGCACGGAGACCTCCTTGTGCCCGAAGGCCCGGAACATCCACCAGGCACGGGGAGCGTAGAAGGTGCCCAGCTCGTCCCCATCGTACACCACCACATGGGTGTCGTTGCTGACCCCCAGGCGCCCCACATAGTCAGCGAAGTGGGACTCGCTGGGCAGCATGAAGTCGTAAGGGGAGGACTGGTCCCGGCACTCCTCGATGTCGAAGAAGGACGCCCCGGGGATGTGCCTCTCCTTGAACTCCTGCCGGGCATTTCGCTCCTGCGGCGGGTACCAGGAGGCGTCCAGGACCCGCAGGCTCGTCCCCACCCGCCCGGCCCGCACGGCCTCCGACAGCCATTTGGCGGTGACGAGCGCCCGGCCGAGCAGCTGCGGCGCCATCTCGGAGGGCCGAGGCCGGGAGAGGGCGCCGCCAGCGGCGAGACACACGCACACAAAATGGCGGCGGGGGGACACGGGCCGGGAGGCGCGGCCCGAGCGGGAGGAGCGGGGACGGGCGGCACCGCCCGGGACCGGCCCGCTGGGACGGCCCTGGCTCCCGCCCCCCCCCCGGCGGCAGCCATGGCTGGCGGGGACTGAGGGTGGGTGCTGCTCGGCTGAGGCCCGTCGCGGAGGTACGGGGAGGCACGGCGGATCGGCTGCGCTGAGGGAACGGCGGCCCTGCCGGGGGCTGGGGGTATCCGGAGCGGGAGGGATCGCAACGGGAGGCGGCGGGGGTCCAGCCTGCGTGAGGGGCGCCAGGGCTCCGGTGAGGCCTCGGCTGCAGGTGTGCTCCGGGGCGGTGAGAGCGGTGGGGCAGAGCCTCCCCACCCGCGGGGCCGTGCCTCGCACCGCGGCGCTCGGTCCCCTCAGCTCAGCGTCCCCGGGGCTGCCCTGCTCCCCTCTGGCTGCTGTCCGCGCCGGCTGGGGGTCGCTGGAGGTGGAGGGGCCAAGTGGGCTAAGGGGCCCTGGGCCCAGGCCTGTGCCGTGGCCGTCCTGCTGGGGCAGGGTTTGGGCTGAGCTCAGCGAGTACTTCATTTTCAGGGATGGAGCACTTCAAACCCTCACTGTAGGCTTAGCCAGCATCTCAGCGTAGACACAGGTCTTTGGTCCCCAAACGCGTCTTTCTTCCGCTGCTTTTTGTAAGGCTGGTACCTAATTAGCGATTTTCTTCCTTTTGCGGTCAGGTAGATTCAGGCAGACCCCAGGAATCGGGTAATCTCAGCCAGGATTTGGGAGCAATGTCCCAACAACTTCTCTACCGTGCTCTGGTGTCTGCAAAATGGCTTTCAGAAGCGATCAAGTCGCAGCAAGCTGGTCTGGCCTTGAGGATCGTGGATGCATCCTGGTATTTGCCAAAAATGAAGCGTGACCCGAAGCGGGAATTTGAGGAGCGCCATATCCCTGGTGCAGTTTTCTTCGACATTGACCAGTGCAGTGACCGTACTTCACCTTACGACCACATGCTGCCCAAGGCTGATGACTTTGCTGAGTATGTGGGAAAGCTGGGTGTGGGGAATGATTCCCACGTTGTGGTGTACGATGGCAGCGACCAAGGTCTCTTCTCAGCACCCCGGGTGTGGTGGATGTTTCGGGCCTTTGGACATGAAGCTGTCTCCCTTCTGGACGGTGGCCTGAAGAACTGGCAGCGAGAGGGGAATGCACTGAGCTCTGGGAAAAGCCAGGTAGCTCCCACAGAGTTCCACGCTTCCTTGGACAAGTCCCTGGTGAAAACGTACGAGGATGTCTTAGATAACTTGGATTCCCACCGCTTCCAACTAGTGGATGCACGTGCTGCAGGACGGTTCCAGGGAGTAGAGCCAGAGCCCCGAGATGGTAATGTGCCTCCTGAGACACTGGCATAATAAAAAGGGGCTTCATTTAAGGTGCCCATTAGTTTGACTCCTGTAGAGGTAATGAAGGGAAATATGGTTATTCTTTATGGGATGGGACTTGAGGCAGTGTATCTACCTGTCTTCCTCTCCTTTTGAGTAGCAAGTGCTGCTCTTTGAAAATTCAGGAGTGGGGAAGCCATGTATTTTTTTTCTCAAGGGGCTCGGGTGAGGAACATAGCTTTCATACACCTCAAAGATACTAATTGGTCTCTTCATGTATTGGTGCTACTCTTCCCCTCAGAAGGGCCTGTGGAGGTGCTTCAGTCAGTACCTCATCAGAGTGGGTTGCTCTTATGTGAGGAAGATGTGGAGGGAACAGGGAGGAAGAACAGAACTTGACAGGATTGTGTCCATGTGGTAACTTGAAGGCTGGAGCCATCCTTCCTGAACAATCAGTAATGTAGTAAAGCAAAATAAACAAATAAATGTATTTGTCGTAACAAAATACACTAAATTATAAATATTCCTCCCAGTGAAACTGCGAATGGGTTTTGCAATGGATTTGTCCCAGACAGTAGAGGTTAATTCCTGCCTGTATTGCTTTTCCTCCAGGAATTGAGCCTGGTCATGTGCCTGGGTCGACGAACATCCCCTTCACCGAGTTCCTCAGAGAGTCTGGCTTAGAGAAGACACCTGAGCAGATCCGCAGTCTGTTCCAGGAGAAGAAGGTGGACCTCTTAAAGCCGGTGGTAGCCACATGTGGCTCTGGGGTCACTGCCTGCCACGTGGCTCTGGGGGCATACCTCTGTGGCAAACCAGATGTTGCTGTGTACGATGGGGCCTGGGTGGAATGGTACATGCGAGCACAGCCTGAAAATATTATTTCTGAGGGAAAGGGCAAGACGGTGTAATGAGCTGCTTCATCTCCCAGCTGTGCAGATAATTTGCCTTGAAACAGGATTTGGAAAAGATAGGTTTAGCGTACCTGGTTAAGTGTCTTGACATGAAGGTGTTGGGTAACAAGTATGGGCACATGGTGCTTTGGCACTTTCTCCTTACCCTATTGCTGCTGCTTAGGAGCATAAAGATGACCTGGGCAGACAGCTTTAGGTGACCCTGCTTGAACAGGTGAGGTGAACCAGGTGTCCTCCCAAGGTCACTTTCAGCCTTAGTTCTTCTGTGATTCTATGACCTTTTTACCATATCAGATGGAAGGGAGAGAATGCTGGTGGCAGCATGGGGAAGTAATTAAGTCAAGACAAGCTCATGATTCAGGACATTCCACCATGTTCACTCACAGAATGGTCAAACTTACATAACTGTGCCCCATGATCCTGCTCTCTGCCTCTGTCCTAGAAGCCATCCACGCACTTTATGGCCATTTTGAGTGCAAAACTTTGGCAAAGACACAGCTGTTAAAGAGCAAATAGGGCTTCCAGTTGGCTGTTAGGTTAGAGACTTGGTATGTAGTTCTTGCACTTCGACTCTAACTGCAATGTGTGCTTAGCCAGTTTTGTACCCCCATGGTCCAAAATCCCCCTTGGGAAAAAGAAAAGATCCTGGGATTAAAAAAGGGTAAATAAACATGTGTTTCAAGGTCTTTCTGTTGAATGGAAATTATGTGAGTGTTGCTTGGGTGATTCCTTTTCAGGAAGTCTATGGGTTCACTTTGTCTTGATGATTCAAATGAGATGTTTCTCTCTCTCCATGAGTAGAACTATGTCTCTTATGCTCAACAAGCTCTTTGGCCCAGGAAAGACAATGGCATGCCTCTCTCTTGGAACTTTTCACCATCTTTCTCCTTTCAGTCCTTGTTCATTTGCCTTTTGACCTGAAGTGACTTACGATGTAACCGTAAAAAATTTAGAGGAATAGCCCAGTGGCATGTTTTTTCCTGAGACTGTTGTCTTATATCTGAGAGTTGAAATCCCCCCAGATAGTCCTGACAATGTTCAAGAATTTGTTCTCTCTGTGATTTTCTCTTAAAATAAAAGCCTGCACCTATTCTGGCCCACTGGTGACTTAGAAAGTTAATGAGACAAGTTCTGCTCGTGGGCTTGCAGCAACAGTTACCTGTAGATGTCTGAGGATGATGGGGTTGTCCTTTTTAGGGAGTGCTATGAATGCTTATGATCACAGATTTGTAGGGTCCCCTCATAGGCACTGAATACGAGGGCTGGATCCTTTCATATTGGAGGGTGTTTATTCACATTTCCTTTGGCCTTTGCTGGCTGCAGCCCTGACTTCTTGCTGGGCTTGGCTTGCATGCACACAAGCTCTGTTTCTGCTCACCTCCTGCGGAGCTAGTTTCACTGTTCAGATGATTTCTTCCTCTCTCCTCCCCCACCCACACATACAGCCTGACCCCTCTTTCCATGCATTTCCAGTGACTGAAAGCAATCAATTTCCCTATTTACATCAGTTCTAACAAGGTAGCTCTTGAGGGATTTGGGGCTGGCTTTACTGCTAGTGCTGAGTATCTAGAGTGTGCAGGCGTCTGAAATGAGTGACCTTTTAGTACGCAGTGCAAGACACAGATCTGGATAAAATACTAAACCTTTATATTTGCCAGCTTCCATTTAGTTCTTTGGGCTTAGACTACCCAAAGGTGCTTCCTTTGCAGGTTACAGCATGCCCTGCAAATTGTTAAGACTTTCAGTTCTGGATCTAATTGACAGTTTAATTAATTTTCTTCTCCTTCCTGCTAGGAGAATGCTTTATGAATTTCCCCATCCAGGTAATCACTGTGTTTTTAAAGGCCGGTAGCAACACCTTGCTTCATCCCAAGTGGGGTAATTTTCTAGCAACTGTTTCCTGCAGGGGAAAGGGAAGAACTAGTCAGCATGTCGTGTAGGACATCTGATTGCAGTCTGTAACTGAGAGCACTTAAAACCAAAACTTTTTAAGCTGAAGTGTGGTGTTGATGTGAAAACAAAAGGATAAACACTGTCTGGGAACAGCAAGTGGTGCTAAACTCGCTGTAGAGGGGCCTCCCAATCTAAGCAACATGGGTGTTGCTTTTTAAGACACCTTAAGTTAAAGATACTTGTACAGACAGTGCTGTCTGGTATGGGATTTATAACAGGATCTGGCTTGTGACATCTTTTTAGTTCAAGATTTCTAGCCTCTCCCACCATCAGCCAAGCTAAGAGGCTTTCACATGGTAGGTCATTAAGGGTTAACACCCTGGGTGGGGCTGGGAGGTGAGGTTGATTTTATGAATATGTGGCCAGGCCCCTATGTACAGAGAGACAAACCGGGGTGCTGTGCCTGCTGTGTTTCTCCAGGAAAGTTTAGTTATTAGAGAAAACTGACGTATTCTTTCAGACTTTGTTAATCATTTCCAATGGATGCAGGGGGCTGGCTTTTGCTCTTGTCCTTCCAGAACATTTGGCAATGCACCTTAGATGCTGTGTTTCTTTTTTCCCAATGACCCAATCAGTCCCTGGGGTCAGTGGGAATCTTTTTGCTTCCTCTTGAGATTGAGCTGCTTTTCTCTGTCCTGTGTGTTGTGGGGAGGTGGCTGGTGCAGCCCAGCCATGCACCTGGACATTGCAAACTAAGTGAAAGGCTTCCCTCTCTCCTTGTTCTCCATTTTGACTGTATGGCTCTGACATCTAGCAGGGCCTCTCCTCCTCTCTGGTATGTGTGCCAAGGTTGGCAGTACTCGACTGCCCTTCTCCCAGCTGGGTTTTGAACCACAAAAAACCTCAGCAGTTACTCAGTTTCCCAGCTTTTGACAAATCTTTTACCAGATGCTTAGCTTTACCTTGATTATGCCACAGAGATTGAGAACTTCTCCTCATGACAAGATACTTTGTCTTTCTGGGGTATGCCCTGTTACATCATGTATCAGAAATCTGTCCAAGAGTGTCTTCTGATACTTCCCTCCTTTTAGTTGAGATCTGTTCTCATGCTGCAGGCAAAGCACTGGGAACATTGTGCAGAATGAGACAATGTTTTCAAAGCCTGGAGACTGCAAAAACCTATTTTGATTCATAACAGACGCTACTGAACATATGGAACAGCTGAGGGGACTTGCACCAGGACTATAAATGTTCTGCAGATCTTTATGTCCATGACTCGGTGGGTGGCTTTCCTATGGGAACTGTAAACTGGGAATGGGACAAGTGGATATGAATGCAAATCACTAATGTTGATGACTCTCCCATGGAAAATTTGCCACAGGGAAAGGGGAATAACATATCTTTGGTGAGATAGGGCTCATGGTAGCCAAAAAGTAGCCTAAAGAACAGCCCTGAAGTGGGAAGAGGGTCACACTGACCCATGGCTGACTTGAGACTGGAGCTTTTACAGCTCTCTATATAAATTTGAGAATCCAAAGCCAGCGTGTAAGCTCTTTATTTGTTGATTTGATGTTTTACTATCTGCAATACTTCTGTCCCGAAGCAGTTTTGGATCCCATGAGAACAGTCTGGTCAATGATTCTCCAAAAGTAATCCCACAGTCCATTGTTTCTCACATGTTGTCTTCATCCCCTGCCTTCCTCTTCCTTCCCTACTGCTGCCTAGCAGTCAGGTTGCACTATTTCACACTTGACTTCCCAGTGAACCTTCCCCTGCAAACTTTCCCAAATTCCAAAGCAGTCCTTCTTCTCCCAGCACCGTTGTCCCTTCACATTAATGACCACTGCACGAGCAAATGGTAGTCACTATTACCTGCTGGGGCTTTTCTTGTTCCTCCCATCTCCTGGTCCCAGCTCACAGCCAGGTGCTACGTGGCTGTTCTCTTCCTCCCAGCACTCTTCCAGCAGAGGTGCTGAGTGATGCACATACACACGGACTTCACGCGCTATTTTGAATGCAACTACATTGCTCACAGACTGCACAAAGCACAAGGAGATGAAGAAAGATTATCCCACCAGTGTGCCATGGGGTCTTTCTCTTCCTGTTCCAATATGCCTGGCTCAGCGGGCAGACAAACTGGGCTCTGTTTGCTCCAAGTAAACTGCCCTCCTCCCACCCCTGAGTCCAGTGTAGGGAGTTTTCTTCGCCCAGTTCACTCCTGGCTTTAATGATAAAATGTCAGAGCATTACTCGTCCTCCCCTCCCCACTTCCTATAGAGGAGAGGAGATGGTTTCTTCTCCAGTGCCTCATGCCACAGTGTGTTCGTTAACTAAATGATGGCACAGGTTTAATCCCAGACGTGTGTTTCCAGCCTGCCAGTGGTGACACTGTCTGGGCCAACGTGCCGTGATCCCTGCTCCCGCTGCCCCTCCCTAATGCAACAATTCCTGAAGAGCAGCTCTGCAATGCCAGCGATGCGTTGTACGCCCTGTGCCTTGCTGACTTGTCAGGCTGCAAAGTATGTACGGAGCGCTGCAGTGTGCGTAGCTTTCTGCAGGTTTGCACTGCAGGCCTGCTGGCTGCTGAACCAAGAAACTCTCAGTTTACCCTCTGCTGTTCTCCTGAACTCTTGTTCAGCCCCATAAACTGTCTACCCAGTGGCTGTCCAGTTTCTCCTGCCACCAGCCTGTGCAATTAACCCCGTGATTTAAGTGGGTACTCAGTGGGGCTGTACAGCATTGCACAATCACGCTGTCCCATGTAAGCTCTTGCTTGCTTCTGTGTCTCTGTTTCTGTGCCCGTGTTTTATATATAGTTATCATCAAAACAGGAAGAATAGCCACTGGATTATTTAAATTTATTTCTCCGCTGTTCTATTGCTTGATTTTAATGGACCTTAACAGGGGCATGTTAGTTGCATCTCGGAACTATATCTGGTCATGGTGTGCAAATCAGGCCTGTATTTAGTCCACACCACCGACTCATCATAGCATTTCAGTTTGTAACTCACCCCAGACTGACTTCTTCCTAAAAAGGATTTTCACATACTGTGGAGAACGTCCTGGCCTGGGGGTTTTCCAATAAACTTTGTGCTGTATGTTGCAGAAGAGAAGGCTCTGGAGATGGGAGTGGTGTAGCTTGACCTCTTTCCTTACTCACAGTATACCTCTTTAGATGTATCAACTAACCTTTCACACCATGGCCCTGGCATGAGCAAGACCTGAAGTGCTGGCCACAGGTGGAGGCTGGTGTTGATGGAAGGCGTGCTCTGAATACAGACCATCCTTGATCCCTGAGCAGCATTGTCATGGGAGAGGTTGGGGAAGAAGGTGTCAAGAACAAGAGATAGACCTAAAAAGGAGCAAGAGGCTGAGGGGCTGTGAGTGGAGGAAAGGGAGACAGAGTGGACCCTTGATAGAAGAAGGAAGAAAACTAAGGCAGGGCAGACTTCTTGGAAGGGGAGATAAGGGGCAATAGGCTGCCACCCAACTACTGCATCCATATCAGAGAGCCACAGACTTCACCCTAATTCTGTGCTGGAGCTGCAGCCAGCACAGAGAGGGTCCTGCACCCCTTGCACACCAGAATGTAGGGGAGAACTCTCAGATCTGCCATGGTTTGACTCAGAGTCAGAATCAGGAGGTCAGCAGTCCCACAGCCCAGAGCTGTGTTGCACAGTGTGATGCCTCAGCTCAGGTCACTGTTAGTCTGAGCCTCTTTGATGCACACCACTGCTCAGTGGGGACTGGTCCAAGAACTGAGCACTAATTTGGGCCAAAGACTGCTCTGTATAGATAGGCAAAATTAATTTTTCATCCTTTCACTGTTATTGGTCACTCTAGTGCTGGCCAGTTCCTGGCATAGATTTCAAGGAGATCCAGAGGGACTTGAATTTACACCCTGCAGCAGCTGAATTTTTCCTGTGCTTAAATTAGCCGGAGGTCAACAATCCTGAAACCTTTTCTGTGTTACCCTCTCTTCCCTTCCTCCCCTTTTCACTTCTACACAGAAGGAGCAAAGTACATACTTATACTGTCTTTGTGAAGGAAGTCCTGGGTGATTTGGGGGAAGGGTGACACAAAAGGGAGTGATTTGTAAGTAAAAGAGAGAAGGAGAAGAACAAGAAGGAAAGGAATATAAGAGTAAAACATGTTTCTCTTTATCTACCCTCTTCCCCCAATAAAGCCCCACCTCAAAAGACACAAATATTTAATTGCAAGAACAATAACGTGTCTGCAAAGCACCACGGTGTCTCTGCAGTGCTGCATTGCCCTGGCAAGGAAGAGCCAGAAAGTTGCTTAGATGAAGGAAGGCTTTGGGCCACGTTCAGGTGAAACATCAGCCGTTCCATTCCTAATATGCTCAAGCTGCTGGCAAGCACGATGGTGCTTAGGTGGGAGTGGGAAAAGCAGAGCTGCTGGAGAGGGAGTTCGTTCGGGTTGTGCCTGTGCCAAGAAGTGCATTTGAACAGAGTCCCCCTGGGGCATGAGTTGCTGAGCTCCAGGCTTGGCCTGGCAGGAGCGAGTGGCAGAGGCAGGGCTCGATGCCGTACGGTGGGATTGGCACATCGGCCTCAGTGGGCGATACGTGCCTGGGGCAGAGGTAAAACTCTACACAAAGCTAAGTTAAAATCTTAGCACTCTGTTGCCTGGACACAGACAGGGATGGCAGGAGCACAGGGGCAGGATGCAGGGGGTCTCTGTCTGGCACGGTTTGTGCTGGTTGGGCAGCACGGGGAGGGGGAGGGGGGGGGACACAGTTTGCTAACTCAGCGATTCTCCCAGGTTGGAAGAAATATGATTCCTGCCCCCTGCCAGCACTTCATGCAGATCCAGGACACGGTTCCCAGAAGCGTCCCTATGTACGTTAACAAGGAGGCAACTGTCTGCACATTTTGCAGCAAGAACAGCGTGGGAACTGAGGCAACACTGAGCTGTGAGCCTGGGGCAATGCGTCTCCTGAAGGAAAAGCTGTGGGGTACAGTGCTGACGGACTTGATCTGCTGACTGCCAGGGAGCTGGTTGTTCTTCCTGGCTCCATGGAAGCTTGCAGGCAAGACCCAGGACTGGAAGCAGGCAGACTACCAGCCACAGGGCTGGGTTCGTGTAGTATAGTGCAGCCCCTTTCATTACAGCATCCTCATTACGGGGACAGTGAGCTGGGAAAACTACAGTTCCCAGCACCCTTTTATGCACATCCCTGCAAACTACAGTTCCCAGAACCTTTTAAGGAGCCAGAGAGGATGTCTATGGAAATAAATGCTGACCATTTTTGCATAACACCCTGCACCACTGAAGTGCTGGCTGGCCCTTGGTTAGTGAAAACGGGAACAGGGGGAAAGCCAGGCAGCGTCAGTGTTGTGGAGCTGTGGTTTTGCCCTCCTCTGATAGCCGCAGGGATATCCAGCACAGAGCATCCTTCCCCTGCTCTGGACTCCCTTGGTGGTCACAGGGAGGACCTTGGCTTCCAGGAAACGTGGCTGCTGCAGAGGGAGAGGCAGATAAACTACAGATCCCGGCATTCTCCGGCAGGCAGCACCTGCGGCAGTCCCTGCACGCCGCAGGAGGCGGGGGGGGGGGGGGGGGGGGGGGGGATGAGGATGAGGATGGAGGGCGGGGAGGAGATGCAGGGCGCCGTGGGGCTCCGCTGCACCTGGGACATCTCACCACCCGCTGGCACCCAGGCCAAGTGGGTGAGGCTCAATGTGGGGGGCACCGTCTTCCTCACCACCAGGCAGACCCTGTGTCGGGAGCAGAAATCTTTCCTGTGTCGCTTGTGCCAGGGCGAGGAGCTGCAGTCGGACCGGGTAAGGCAGCTGGGTTGCCTCCCGCACCGTGCCCCCCGCCGAGCATGGGGAGGGCTGGAGGGGTGCAGGGTTGGAGCCAGACCCCGACAGCTGCAGGAGTAACTGAGTGAAAAATGCCTGCTCTCCTGGGAAGGATTTCCCCTTGCCAGGATTTCACATCGCTGTGTTGTAGCGTGGCACCTGTCTTCCCGAGCTGGGGAAAAGAGGGGCCGTCTCCCCCCCACCCCTGCTCTCCCGCCTCTCTACCACCCCACATCACCTGGGTCTGTCTCCCAGCTGTATCTGCCTGACTCAGCCTTGTACCCTGTAAGGGGGTTCTTTGCTCTCTCACACCAGGCCCATACGCACAGTTGCATGAGGAGACAGGCCTATTTTTTTGGCCTTCTCAGCTGGGTTGGTCCATGCTGAAGTGGGCGTGCTGAGCACACCAGTACAGGAGTTAAAATCCAAGCTGGGATGACTTGGCTAGGGACTCTCAGGGGCCTGTGGTTTCCAAGGAGTCTTAGAAATAGTGGAAACTTTTGTGTAGCTTTGTATTTTCTTATAGTCTGGAGCATTTTAGGGTTGGTCACAAGTTTCCCATGGGGTTTTTCTCCTCGTGGTCTATCTCTGTTGATAGGATGAGACTGGTGCATACCTAATAGACCGGGACCCCACTTACTTTGGACCCATCCTGAATTTCCTTCGTCATGGGAAGCTTGTCCTGGATAAAGATATGGCTGAAGAGGGTGAGTCTTGGAGCTCAGAAACTTCCCACTTCACATCGCTGCTGCAGCCAGGACACTGTAGGACTTGTTGCCAACCTTGTTGTGTCTCATTCTCCTTCTGGAGGTTGATGTGGGGGGATTTGAGAGGGTTATCCCAGCAGCTCTTGGAAAGCATACCGATGCTTCCTTTACTAAAGCGTTTTGGAGGAGGTGAGGAAGGCATTTTACAGGCGTTGTGGCTTCACGACTGTTTGTTCAGCAGAGATGTCACCAAGACGGAAGTAGGCAAGATCTCTCAGCCTCAATAAACTATTTTTTACTTGTTCCTCATCCACTTTTAATCAGGCTCTGTGACTGACTTTTCTGTTAATGACTGAGTGTTTCTAATTAGGAATGAAAACCCAAAAGACCAAACAAAAGCAAGCTCATCTCTTCTACTGACTGTAATAAAGACCATCATTAATCAGTGATATGCAGTGTATGCTACTAGTGCTCTGATGGGTTGTGGACTGCAGCAATTCCAGTGGAACAAGCCAGACAAACCAATCCCTCATTTGAGGCTGACAGGGAGTCCAATAGGATAACTCAATAACATTACAGTGTTACCAGCCAGCAGTCCCCAAGGCCTCGTTATTTTTTGGATGCTAGAGCCTAACAAGGAGCCAATTCCAAAGACAGGCTGTGCTGTCCAGTCCTCGCCAAGAACAGTTTCTGCATGTTCATTAGTCTTCTTGCCTCTCTCTCTTACATATTTTTACCTAATGCAAGGAGAGGTTTATTCAGAATAATCCTATGAGTTTTAATTCCAGAAATATATCTAAGCAGTAGTACAGAATTGTAATAAACACAATTCTGAGGTGTTTCCTTGTTGACATTTCTTATAATCCTGAGGTCAGACGAGTTCATTTGCAGGTTTTAACATAAAATCTGAAGCATAAACGGGAGTCCAGTTTGTAGTTTAACATTGCCTTTTGTTCCTGCTGCAGACACTCAGGCTGGCATAAAACTAACCCATTAGATGATTCACAGCTGAATGAGGGACTCAGAAGAGGTTTGAGTGTGTCAGGTAGTGAAGGATCAATCCTCCCACCTGCATTGTCTTTGTACTGCCCTGGGGACATGTGAGTGTTGGCTCCAAGCTGCCTTTCCCTCACCCACCCTCTGGGAACCCACCTCCCTTTCCTTGAAGGCCTGTTAGCAAAGAGGTGAGGCTCAGGATACGTGATGGGTGCAGACACCGTAGAGAAAAAACCCAAAACACTTCTCTGTGGACTTGCTTTGAGGTAAAGCACAGGGGAGAGAACCAAAGATCATCTGAAGTCATATGGGGCTGCAAGGTGGGTGCAAGTCCAACTGGCCCAGAAGGAAAGCTGGGATTTTCTAGGGTCTTTTGGTGGCAAGATCAGAACAAGTTGTGGCTCTCTGCTGTCCCTGCCCATGGCAGGGTGGTTGGAACTAGATGATCTTTAAGGTCCCTTCCAACCCAAACCGTTTGATGATTCTGTGATGATTCTCTGTCTTAAGAAGAGGGCCTGAACAAGGTGATAACTTATGGTCATTGGGAGAGACTGAAACCTATATTTATTCTTCTTGGCCAGTTATCTGGGAAAGATATTATTAGTCCTCAGCACAAGCCTTCCCTGGCAGTGCCTGTTTCTGTAGTAGCAGGCAGCATAAGGAAGTCGGGGTGAGCGTTTGAAACGTAACACAGAGAACCAGGGTTCAATTCTCTGCACTAAGATTTTCAGGCAGCAGAAACCTGTTGAAAAGTGAGGCTGCAGTGTCATTTCCCCCTATGGACCTTGGAAAGCTCAGAATTGATCTTTTGCAAGCCAGAAAACAAAGTCAGGCAGCTAACTTTCTGTCTTTGTGGTCCTTCTGTCTCTCAGGGGTCCTAGAAGAAGCCGAGTTCTATAACATTGGTCCTTTAATCCGAATAATCAAGGATCGACTGGAAGAGAAGGACTACACAGTAACTCAGGTATGGAGAGAAATGGCAAGGGAAGATAGAGTGGGGTAGGCAAAGGAGGGAATATGGAAAGGAAGTGGTGAGTCTAGAGGGAGAGCAGACTTGGGAGAAGCAGCAAGGAATGGAAAGAAGCAACTAATTAGAGTTTATGTGCTAATGTCTATATAATAAAATTTTGCAGGGATTTGCTGGTTTTGACCAGGGTAGAGTTAATTTTCTTCATAATAGCTAGTATGGGGCTATGTATTGGATTTGTGCTGGAAACAGTGTGGATAATTCAGGGATGTTTTAGTTACTGCTGAGCAGCGCTTACACAGAGCCAAGGCCTTTTCTGCCCCTCACCCCACCCCACCAGCGAGGAGGCTGGGGGTGCACAAGAAGTTGTGAGGAGGACACAGCCGGGACAGCTGACCCCAGCTGACCAAAGGGATATTCCATAGCATATGACATCATGCTCAGCATATAAAGCTGGGGAAAGAAGAAGGAAGAGGGGTACATTTGGAGTTAAGAAGTTTGTCTTCCCAAGCAACCATTACGTGTGATGGAAATTGGCCTGCCAATGGGAGGTAGTGATTGAATTCCTTGTTTTGCTTTGCTTGCGTGCATAGCTTTTGCTTTATTTATTAAGCTGTCTTTATTTCAACCCATGAGTTTTCTTACTTTTCTGGTTCTCTCACCCATCCTGCTGGGAGTGAGCGAGGAGCAATGTGGTGCTCAGTTGCCAGCTGGGGTTAAACCATGATAAGGGAACAGGCTACTGCTGTTTCAGTTACAATAAACAAGTTACAGGCTTGTTTTACATCCCCAAAAGTAATGCTGAATGTAGCCCCTGAAATGAAATCAGGTCCTCTAGCTTTTGGAAGAAGGCAGCTGTTGCTGTGGGATATGGAAGAATGTTTGTGAGGTGAGCAAAGGTATCATGAGAAGGAGGACTCTGGGGTGGGGAGTCCTGGGAGTGTAATCACAGTGAAGAGCATGGGTGTACCTGTAGAGAAACCTGGAGGGAACAGGTGAAGAGATGTCTGTGGAAGAGTTAAATGCAGACAGTGAGATACAAAGAATCAGTCCTGTGGCACAATCGCACCTTGTATTGGCCAAGAAACTTTTTAAATCTGTCTTCCAGGTGAGTTGGCTGACATCTCACTTTTCATCATGTCTGTCTCAGGTTGTAAGCCTCCAGCAACACAGTCACTTTGTGCTCACAAAATCTCATCAGCATTTGTGGTATTTGCAAAAATGACTTTGTAATGACAAATGCAAACTCCCCATGAAAAGAGCCCAGTATCTTCTGGGGACAATGCAGAAAGCACTCAGCTCAGTCCCAGCTCTCCAGAAGAGATACTGTTGTTCTTGCTCCCCATGCCAGCATACTAAATTTAACGTGGGATATGGGGAAGTGGACAGGTCTGTCAAGGAGGGCTACTACAACTTAATTCTGCAGGAGGGCAACAGCCTTTAGCATCTGACCGTTGTCAACATGCTCTGCAATTTTGTTGCCAGGTGCCTCCTAAGCATGTCTACCGTGTGCTACAGTGCCAGGAAGAGGAGCTCACTCAGATGGTTTCCACTATGTCAGATGGATGGCGCTTTGATCAGGTAAGGAGAAGGCAGAGGAGAGTGGGAAGAAGTTGTCTTTTGGGGAAAAGATCACGAATACCATACAGTCCCCAGGCAAGGCACCTTCCCTCTCTGAGAATACTGTGTCAGTCATTGATGATGCTATCACACTGGCTCTCTCTTGCCCCTTCTCTAGAGGTTTAGAGGATACTGTGTGAGGTTAATCCATTTTGCATCCTGGCTGACTCCTTTCCTGGTTCTCTGTGTTGCCTCTTCAGCTCAGTTATGGGGCCTTTCTACTGGGGGGTATGGACCGGACTCCATGCTGCATGGTGGGCTTTCTGCCTTACTCCCCAGGTGGAGTGGATGTTTGCGGTAACGTGTACTTGTGTTGCTTGTTCTTGTCTTTTCTAGCTTGTGAACATTGGCTCATCCTATAGCTATGGAAATGAGGATCAGACAGAGTTCCTGTGTGTGGTCTCCAAAGAGCTGTACAACTCCCCCAGTGGCCTGAGCTCTGAGCCCAGCCACAAAGCCAAGGTGAGTCCAACTTTGTTATGGCCCTGATCCCGTTGCCTAAGAGATCCTTCACTCTTGTTTTCTCCCTCTTTCTTTCCTCTCCCTACTGTGACTGTGGGGTACCTCAGTGGTGAAGTACAGGGGCTTGTCCTGGTGTTCAGCACCGTGGAATTGCACCCATTGCCCAAAATGAGAAGTGCATGTGTTTAGAGTGGTGGTGTCCAGCTATGTGTGGCAAATGGCTTTAGCAAGTGACCTTGGCACTTCTCATGCTATTCTAACATCCCCATCATGCCTCCTCATGACCATGCTGTGTGTGTCACTGACTCTAGGGTGTGATTTCCCTGAAAGTTTTGCAGTGTTCTCTTCCTTTTGCTGAGTCCCAGCCTAAGAGGCAGGTCACCTGTTCCCCTTAGGAGGGAAGGACAGAAATGTGTGGCAGTGCATGACACCCTGTAGACACCTAGGATAGAGGAAGGAGCACTAGTGACTGGTGGCAGTTGTTGGGCAGTTGGATCACAGCACTTGTAAGTGGGTTTAGATAGCCCTGATGTGATGCTCCAGAGGAAGACAAGTCTCTGCTCTCTGACCCAGAGCTGCCTTGTCCATGGGGAAGGGTCCCTTTTTATTCCAATGTTGTGACCATTGATTCATTCCCTTGTGTGTCAGAAAGAACTGCCATGGCTCATCTTGCAAGTATCTCCACTCTTTCTTCCCTTTGTCCTGCATGCTGGGCCACAGAGCACAGAGGAGGACCTGGAGGAGGAAGAGCAGGAGGTGGAGGAGGAGACAGAGGCAGAAGCAGAAGCACAGGAGAAAGGTGCAGCAAATCCTTGAGGAAAATGATAAAAATAACCCCCCAAGCGTAGACCCGTCCACCTTTCTGGTGAGAACTCACAGCTAGCAGCAGGGAAGGACTAGGGCAGGTGTGGGGTGTGGGGGCAGTCCTCTCCTCTCCAGGAGCAGGAGTCTCACTGGAGATAAAGCTGACAGGGAAGAGCTGTTACTGTGGCTGCTGCTTTGTATTTTAAACTGTTTGGTTTATTTAGTGTTATATTTTTATTTGCAGACTGTCCATCTATTTGGGATTGCACTAAACTCTTTCTTCCTCTGGACCCTCCCTCCTGCTCCCCTCTGTGTCCATCCCAGCACTGTCACTTACCTCCCACCTTGCTCCACTCCCCAGCCTCCAGCATCCCTCCCTCTGCTCTCTTTGCCCCCCAGGGCTCAGAGTCGTCCCTGCCTGGGGGCCTGTCTGTCTCTGCTCCTCACTTTTCCTCCTCTGCAGGTATGTTACCTGTCTGCACTCTCAGCTCCCACCAGCCTGAGCTCTGCATGAGTGACTCACTTCCCTCTTGTGGGTATGGCCCTGGTTTGTAGAGCTTGGGGAGGGGAAGGAGGGAGGGAAGTTTCACTCATCCCCAAGGTGGCCTTTTGGATTCTCATCCTGTGTGTTCCTTTACCTGCCAAGCAGGCCCTACAGCTCCGGATCAGATGCTCTGGTAGCAGAAAGGAGAGGACAGCTGGGAGAAATGAAGAGGGGTGGAAATGAATACAAAGCAGGCAGGGGTGGCATGGGGAAGGGGGGGAAATTCTGCCACGTGCCTGCCTGACACGCATGCTGGAACACTTCTCCAGACTGCCGTCCGCAGCTCCTTTGCCTGCCAGCCCACGAGTGGTTTGCAGAAGGCAGCCTGTTATTTTCCCCTCCCCACTCTCACTTCCCTGGGCTTTTCCCCACCGCCTCTGGCAGGGTGGTGAAGGCAGAGTGGAAGAGGCCAGTCCTCACTCCAGATGTTCTCGCAGTTGTGTGCAAAATGAGCCTCTGTGCTCTGCCTCCTGCTCAGGGAGGCTGCCTGGCTGGCATGAGTGGGGCTGAGTACAGAAAGCTTTAGAAGGAGGATTCCTCTCTCAGACTGGAAGACTGTGGGGCTCTTGTTAAACCAGAGATGCTCAGTGGTGCTGAAAAAAACAAGGGGACACTTGTTAGCTGGCTGACATTTCTCTCTCCCTCTGTTTGAGAGCCTCCTTGTCCAAGGCTGTGGGACCTGATTGTTATTCTCTTGAAATCAGTGTATGTTAATCACATGGACTTTTCCTTTCGTCTGTCCTCCCACCTTCACTCCTCATCTTTTTTCTTTTTCTTCTGTTCCCATTTCCTCTGTCATTTCCCTTTTCCTGTTTCTCACTATCCCCTCCATGCTCAATCGCTTTTTTTTTTTTTTTCCTGCTGTTGATTTTGTTTCTCTCTTTCTCCTTCTCCAGCTGTTACAAGCCAGAGGTCTGAGGATGTGATCCCGACACTCCACCCCAGCCTTTTCATTTCTTGCTTATATCTTTATTTTTGTACTGCAGCGTATGGCAGCCCTGTGTCCCACACTGACATCCCCCGGCCCCTTTCACCCTTCACATGCAGCCACTCTTTTTCACAAACTTCACCTCGGAGGCCTGAGCCTCCAGCCCTGGAGGAGAGCAGATGCTCCACAGAGCCCCTGGGCTGCTGTAGGGGCTGGAGCCCACGGTCCCCTCTCATGCCTCGCAGGCTGGCTTTCCTTAATGTCACAGTGGCCCCTGCTGGGGACATCTGTGATCAGCCACTGCAGCCTGCGATCTCTGCCTGAGCACCCTGGGTGCGAGTGGGGCCCTGAGGTGGTGGCAGCTGTGGAGGGACCAGCCCTCACCCTTTCGCTGTTCCAGGCAGCTGGTCTGGGCTTGTGGCCAGAGGGCAAATGCAGAGTCACTGCCCTTTTCTGGGCCACCTGCACTGCTCGTGGGGTGCCCCTGTGCTGGGTATCACGCTCCTTAGTGCCTCCCTCCCTGTCCCCCCCAAAATCAGCCCTGTGTCGGCAGGGTGAGAAGGAGACAGGCGTGCTGCCTGGGTCCTGGGAACACGCTGGCACCTGAGGTCGTGTCAGCTAGCACCAGGAGATCACTGTTTTTGGAGAGCAGTGCGACTGGCTTCGCTGCTGTGTCTGAGGACATAAGGTTGTAACTCCTGAATAAAATTCACAGTCCATTCCCCCTTGCTGCCTCTCATTTCAAGTGGCAGAAATTTGGTGCTGGCAGAAGGGGGTGGGAGCTGGAGATGAGGAACTTGGATTCATCACCTGGAGCCACCAGAAGCTGCTTGTGCTGTGCCTGTCTTCTGGGGGCTGGAGGGACTTCCCACCGCATCTGTGCTGCATCCCCACTGCAGGCAGCTGGGCTGCAGAGCAGGTTTGCTTATTGCTATCAGCACCCCTAAATCATAACAATAAGTGAGGACCACCCATGTAGCTAGCGTACTGACCCCACTGCGTCGGGAGGGCAGTTGCCAGTGCCAGGATTGGAGTTTGGTCAAAAAGGTTCAAACCACAAGATAATTTTTAACAGAGTAAGGCAAACTAGAGCCAAAAAAACGCTCAAATTAATTATATTTCTAATTCCAGAGAGTGGCCCATTGTATATACACACACACACACATACACACACACACACACACACACATATGTATCTCTTTAGTAATAAAAACCCAAACCCCTAGCAGTTGCTGTTTAAGCACTGTGCCCTGAAGCCTTCTCTTTCACCTGCTGGATTATCTGAGTTAGGAGATGGAAGCAGTTGAGATGCCCTCATGTTGAAGGTATATAGGAGGGCTGAAGGAAGGGGATGGGAGGCTGCTCCAATGTTTTTACTGAGGGCTGGGGCCTTGCCCTGAAGAAAGAGCAGCAGCAGAGGCCGGGTGCTGCCCCGGCAGGGAGGCAAGATGCGCACTTGGGGGTGTGATGCTGGACTCGTGCCTGGGAGCCAGTGAGATGTGAGGAGATGCCTGGCTGAGCTGAACAGCACCACTGAGCAGCACACGCCAGCTAAGAAAAGAAGCAATTAGGGAGATGGAAGAGGAGGAGTGATGGGAGGGGAAGGGGGAAGAAGGACAAGCAGCAGGAAGGAAGAGGGAAGCAGATTGATTTCACAGTTACTGGAATCTCTAACTACATCAGTCACATTTTCTTTCAGCAAATGTTCCAGCATAAGACTGTGGATGAATCACATGGTTCATGGAAAGTTCAACTCCCCTTATTCCTTTTCTCAGAAACCATCAACTTGGGACCGTTGCTGTGTGTCGTGTTGTCATCGTTCCCCCCCAACTCTTTTGGATGGATGGTCTAAAAACACCTTGGGATGCTCCCTGGGAAGCACCGAGGGGGAGGAGGGTCTGCCTGCTTTTCTCTACAATCCCCATGACAGGCTTTTTTTACCCTCCTCAGAAGAGCATCCTGGGCCTGACAACATCCCACACAGAAACTCTCTTTCTCTGAGAGGCAAGTGAGAAAGATTGGGAATAAGTGCCATGTGAGTGTAGGTCTGATGGGGAGAAGGCAGAGATGCACTTTTCTCAGCTCATGGTTTGGTTCATCCAGCCCAGCACTTGAGTGATCCTGGTGTATACTCCATAGTGATTTGGACGTGCGCATCCCATTCCCCAGCTGACCAAACCAGCCAGAAACCATCTGCCACTGGGTTCCTTGCAGGCTAGAGGACCTCCAGAATCACCCTAGAGAAAGGGAAAGAAAAACAGTGTGATGGTGATCCACCAGCTTCTGCTGGATGATGACACTGGCTTTGAGTCCCTCTGTATGCAGATTCCTGTAACCCCTCAACTCATGCCTGGGACATCTGCAACATTTCTTGTACCTTAGGGAGATGCCAAAAGCAGTCTCCAGTGCAAGCATCTGACCCATTGCTGCATTCCTTCGTCATGCAAATTCCTCCCCCTTAGCCAGGTCCCAAGAAGCTGACAGCTCTATTATTTCCTTTTACTCCATGTGGCATTTCCTTATATGCAGAGAGCAAGGAGGCTGGTGGAATTTAACTGGATACCCAGAGGGATGGGAGATAGAGGAATTCCTTGAGATCGATATTAATGAAGGGACAGGTTACTATGTGTGACAGATGCTAAAGAGGCTGAGGGGGTATGAGACTGATATGTGACTTGAAAGTGGGAGGTAAAGAGTGGAGAATGGATTGAAACCAGAAAAGGAGTTTAAGTGTATTTGGATCTTGTCTAAGGCAAAGATTTTGCGAAGAAGTGGTCTGAGAGCTATTGTTGGCCACTTAGATCAGAGGACGTGTTGGAAAAGTCAGGCATTTTATGATCTTTTCGCCCTCATTTCAAGCTATAGAGTGCATTTGGGAGACTCGGGACACACCCCACTTTCAGTAGTCAACCCTGATCTCACAACTCCTCTGTCACCTGGCAGGCATCTTTCTTGCCCTCGTGGTACCCAGCACACAGCATCCTAGGAGAAACCACGTAGTGATAGGCCTCGCTGCAGATGTCCTGCTGGATGAGCTGCACGTCCACCTTCTGCAGAACATTGCTGATGTGCCCTGAGGGGTAGAGCACCAAAAGGAGTGCAGGTGAGCAAAGGTGGAGCTTCACACCATTTACTGTGGTCCCCCAGCCTATGCCCATCTCGCTGCATGCTGAAAGCTGCCATCTGAATTTCTATTTTGCTCTCCACTGGCATCACGGTCTCTGATTTTCAGCAGAGCACTTCACCTGCATGGAAGGAGTAGCATTCCCCTTCAGACCCTTTCCCTACAGGGATATGTTGTAGGCACTCCAACTGTTGAGGCAAGGGGGATTCTGGTTTTGGGGAAGCCTCTGGGGCGTCAAGAGATTTGGGTTTGCTTCTCATTGAAATGGTTGTCAAGTTTTTCCAGCTAAGTATGCAAATCAAGAATGTTCAGTTCTGGATAGACCACTGAGTGTTTCCATTCAGGAAGCAGCTGGAGCAAGTGTGTGTGTCAGTGAAGGCCTAAGCTGACCTGGGTGAGCACGTCTTTATTCCTGTGCCATGCACTGCTAGAGAACAGCTTGGACCTGCTTTGTTGGCCCTATGGGGAGGGAACATGAAGGGTCCATACCCATGCAGCTAAACTTTTCCTCACAAAACAGAACGGACTCAGCCACACCACCCCAGGGGAACAGGTCTTGGCCCATGCTGTCCCCCAGCAGTGTGTGGGTGCTATATGGTCAAAATGGTCAAATGGTACCAGGGCACATGCTAACAGTTACACAGTGTGATCCCCAGGGGACTCTGCACTGCTCCCACTGAATTTACTAGTACAGGTGTTTCTGGGGGGACCCAGGTCCTAGGGTCTTTGACATGGGGAAAATGTTGCTTCAGGGACTGCAACCAGATGTCCCCAGGAGACCCGGAACCAGTGGGATGAAGAGCAGGTTTTTTATCTCAAGTCTTTCCAGTCAGGTGCTGGCCCTGGGGAACGACCCAACAGGATTCCAAATGTCTATGTGAGCACAGGGTTGGACTTTGGAACCGGGGCTGCTCCACGCTGAGACCATGGCTGAACAGCCACTAGACAGACCCCCTAATTCCTGAAGGGCAATTCTAGACTTTGGGTAAAGGAACACATGGTGTCTCCACGTAAGATTAACAGACCCTCATTCCTGCCTCTCTGAATGAGGTTTCAAGGCACTCAGCAGGTAACTTTGGCCAACCTGTGACCCAGAATCAAAGGGACTGAAGGGGGCATAATGCTCTGGGGTGAACAGAAGCCTATTCTGCCTACCCCACATCTGAACCTATGTTTCCACCTTGGCTCTGCTACAATAGGCCACCAGCAAAGACCTTGCACCTACCCCCTTCCTTGAGGGCTCCCCAGCCAGTGATCCAGCAATGAAGGCCAGGCTCAAAGACGTGAGATGGAGCAGGCAAGCAGATGGGCTGGATTAAGGGTGAGATGATCACAGGATGGTCCAGCTGGAGCAGGGCCACATCATAATCATGGCTGTCCTCCTCATAATAAGGGTGGAGGAAGAGGCGGATCACCTTGAAGGACACCTCTGTGTGGCTGGTGACGTTTTGCAAGTATTTGCCCAAGTAAACGGTCCAGATGGAGGCAGAGGCCAGTCTGTAGGACGCAGCAGAGAAGATAATTCATCACATGAACAGAGGATGGGCAGAGCCTGGCTGCTTCTGGCGCAGTCTTTTGAGGAGTCTCTGATATGGGTGATCATCTCCCTCAGAGGGGCCTGATGTCACCAAGGCTGATGTCACCGTACCAAGGATGACCATCAGCTCCTGCTCCCTGCCCTCACATAGCATCAGGAGGGAAGGGCAGCCAGGGAAGTTCAGCAATAGTAGTTAGGGAGGTTGGGGGATCCCCACGGTCTCACTGGTAGAGGAAAAGGGGAGTTTGGAGAAGATGGAAACTGGGCCTGAGTGTTTCCCTCTACTCAGCCCAGTCACACAGCACAGCTGTGGACCTTCCTCCTCCTCACTTCTTCCCAGTTTGAAAGAATGAGTGAAACACACACTCCCCCCCCGCCCGATCTGTATGTTACTGCCACTGTTGTGATATGTACACTGCGTGGAAAGAGCTGGGGGAGAGACCGTGCTTCCTCCTGAAAGGGCAGGCCCTGGGAGTGTGCCCAAACACCATCCTCTGCAGGTAATGCTATCCCAGCCCCAGCCTAGCACACACTGACACCTCCGTGGTTGTGACAGCACGGGGACAAGCCAGACCCAAAGCAAAGGTGGAGCTGTGAATTGTCTTCCACTACCATTGCCCTCCCCAAAATTCTCTGTGAATCTCAGCACTGCCCCCTTTTTCCCTGCACGCACACCCAAATACTAGAGTGTGTATCCATATCCCTTTCTGCAGCTTCAAAGCATGGCACGGGTGCCAGAAGAGGGATGTGGCTGCCCCATGACATTTTCACAAGTTAGACGGTACTCCCATCACGCACGACATGGAAGGCAATGCAAAGCCTCCTGTCCAGCACCCCTCGCCTCCATTTACCTCTCATCCTGGAAGCAGTGTGCAGCTGAGACCACCCAGCGGTCAGCAATGAGTGTTCCCCCGCAAATGTGGCGTCCTCGAACTTGCAAGCTGGCCTGCCACGGCCATTCCCCTTCCACAGAATTTGCACCACCCACGATCCTGCTCAGAGGGGCTTGCAGCCCACAGTCTGAGGAGGAGGAAACACAGCAGGTACTTCAGCGGGGGAAGAGA